GGCCTGTCCGCGTCAGGGGGGGGCCCGGCCGCGGCGGTGCCTCGCAGCCGCCATTGCTGCCTGCAGCAGGACAGGCCTGAGGCTGCCAGGCCCAGGAGCCGGGTTTGCCCCCACACACACACCTCTCCCCTGCCCCGAGGGGCGCGTGAGGCTGCCGTGTGCCGGCTGGGGTTTGGCGGGCGGTTGGTCTGAGGCGCTACGCGAAGGGTGTCCCCCCACCCCCGGGGTGGCGCCTGCCCGGGTGGCTGTCACACTGACAGGGGCCCGTTCCCGGCTCCTCGCAGGCTGGGAGAGTGCCTGAGCTGCTTCCGCCGGGAGGGGAAACCCCAGAGCCCGGGCGGCAGGGAGGGGAGCTCGCCCATGAGCTAGGCCTCTGTTTTTCAGGGTGATCATGGGGATTTCCTCTGCCGGCGCCCACTGCTCTGTGTGGAGTCGCTGGGCTCAGCTAAGATGGCTGACGGGCTTCCACACGAGGATCTTGGCACCGCAGAGTGTGACTTGTGCCCCGGGGGTGCTTCAGCAGAGGAAACCACCAGGGATGCCCACGAGTGTGGTTTCCGGGCCGTGGGGTGTGAGGCCTCCGGGCAGGAGAGCGCTCCACGCAGCCTCCTCCGGCTTCCAGGAGGTCATGCTGACCAGTGAGCGTTACAGAGTGCAGCGGCTGCCCTTCTCCCTTGTGTCCGACAGTGATGTGGCTTTCTTTGAGCGCATGATGCCAGGTAGAGTCATCACAAATCCGGAGGAATTGAAACCGTTTAATGTGGACTGGCTTAAATCAGTCCGAGGTATGTGAAGTTGTTTATTTTTTGATTTTGGTAAAACCTCCTCTCAGCCTCTGCTAACGTACCAGAATGAAAAGTCTTCCAAAGAAAATCTCATATTTATTTATAGCAGACCATGTCTTTACAGAACAAAATTAGTTTTTCTCATAGTAAATACTCCTTTGAGAATTACCTAATCTTTCAGGTAATTTTTCAGGCTTTCACTTAAAAAAAAAAAAAATCATCTAAGCCCGGTTAACTTACTAATTATTTTTTTTCCTGAAACAAATTGATTCAGTTAATAATTTTGGCTCAACCTCACAAAACAAGTAAGTAGTGTGAATTTTCTGTTGTGTTTGTCAGTTTTCATGATAGTATACAACTTTTCCCATTGCCCTCACTGGCAACCAAGTCTACGTATCACATGTAAGGTTTTTACAGTGCTTTAAGGGAAAGCCTGCTATTGAGAATATTTGTTTTGGAAGTGGTTAAAATGCCTCTGCCTCACAGTGAGGGAACACTGTTGTTTAGACATGCTTTACCACCTTTTTCTTTCTGACCTCTGTAGGGCCCACAAGGTGCCTTGAGAGTCCCTTGCTTTCATTGCAGGCTGTAGCAAGCTGATGTTGAAGCCACAGACAACAGCAGAGGTGTCTCAGATTCTCAGGTAACATGTACCTTTTCTGCTGGGGTTTGTGGTGAGGAAACTCAGGTTATTCAGGAAGGATCCAGCAAGTGAAGGGAACTTCTGGATGTTCAGTTACTCAGTGCTCAAGCACTGAAATTGCTGAAGCTGTTTTCTTCTTGACTGTGTGTCTTATGGTTGAGCTCTGGTCTCTTCAGTTCTCTCTTCTGTTCTTTATATCCCCACTGCCCTTGGGCTGCCCACTGTTTCCTGAAGTACCTTTTGTTTCAGAGACTGTTGCCAGCCTGGGGGTATGCATGTATTGGTGGGTAGGCAGTGTCACTCTAAAAACCTACAGTTTCCTAATTAGGAATGTTTTCACTTAGAAAGCTGAAAGTTTTCAGTGCAGAAAGGGACTTCCACCTGTGCTTTGTATTTCCCAGGCCCAGTGCTCTCTTTGGCCCTTAGCTTTTCTGGGGTGATGATGTCATGTCAGTATCAGGCAGAAACAAGGGCCGAACTTTCATTTGTTTTGCAAAATAAAATTAATCTTTCCTGGCCAGATGTCCTTGCAAAGGCTAAGTGGGCAGCAGCAGACTTCTCAAATCAATGTTGATGGCTTTGAGTAGAAGGATCTTAAGAGTGCTTAGTGTGGAGGAGAGAAATGGTGGCAGGATGTTTCTGCTCTATGAAATTGTCCAAATTAGACACTGTACTAGTGCTCAGGAGGAGCATTTGTGTTGAAGGATTCAGGAAGGTCTGTCTCAAAAGGTAAAGAAGGTTAGGTCAGAATCAGGCAGTTTGAGGAGCTAATGTTTTGTCCACCACATCAGTAAGAACCCTTTCCTGGTTTGCTGGTGTGAGCATAGTTCCAGTTGGGTATCAGTATGAAGGATCAACTGCTGCTTCTTTGGCTGAAGAGCTAAAAGCTGCACGAACCTGCTCCCAGCTCTGTTAAAATAGATATATAGAGCACAGTAAAGTCAGGGCTTCTGAAGTAACTGCTGATGCACTGTGGCTGTGTGCCATCTGTTGTGCAAGAACTTCTGTGAGTTTGGAGAGGATGTGATGGGTGGTGCCTTGCAGGGCTGTGGCAGGCTGGAAGGTGAAGCAGGTGTGGCGTAGATGCACTTGTTTCATTGCCTACAGGGCATTAATTTCTTGAGGGGAGGAGGAGGGCAGTTATGTCTTACACCACTGCCGGAGGCCATCTGTCAGAGCCCACTGAGGAAGCCAAGTTGTTAACAGAGACTGCTACATAAATAGCTTACGTATAAATAGAGCGAGCGGTGATTTTCAGGCAGGTGTGGCATGGCAGATCTGTAGATACGCACAGGGGTAACCCCAAGTGTTCCTTCCTTTGCTCAGTGCTGGGGTGAGTTTAATAAAGAGGTGTGCTTTCTCACTTTCACAGTTTGTATCAATTTAATCTTCAGGCTAAACACTGCTTAATTTTAAGGAGTGCTGAGCACTGTCGCAGCAGTAGGCATGTGGAGGTGAAACTCTTCTGATAGTCTGGATTATGGCCTTAAAATGTATAAGACTTCAGAAACCTTTTTCCTTCCAGGTACTGCTATGAGAGGAACTTGGCAGTGAACCCACAGGGGGGAAACACAGGCCTTGTTGGGGGCAGCGTTCCTGTCTTTGATGAGATCATTCTCTCCACTGTTCTCATGAACCGGATCATCAGCTTTGACAAGGTGTCTGGTAAATATCTCAGAGATGTGAGGCACAGGCATCAGCCCCAGGCCCTAAACTGGCCATTTTCCTAGGAACTGATAACTGCAGGATCAGCAAGGTTCAGGCCAGCAGCATCGTAAGGGGCATCAAAGGTTTGCTTCATCCAGGCTCCTGCTGCTTGATGTCATCCTTAGGCTATAATGGTAGCAGACATAAAAATACATTTGGTGGCAGAAAGAGGAAGAAAGAGAGAAGAGAAACATGGACATCCTATTATCTGTTCATAAATTAAATGAGAAACCCAGCAGTTTCTCCATCCAAGTGGAGGGGATTGACAGTGTTAAAGAAGGCACCTGGTAACTGTTGTAGCAGAGGGATGGGGAAAACTTACACGTTGTTTCAATTCGGAGAGTTAGGAGTCAGACTGGTTTGAGTATTTCTGTTCTTAGAGAGAGAGAGAGAACAGGCAGAGATACACTTAATGTCATCGCGTTTTGCCAGTTTGGAACTGTGTATGATGAAGTGTTAAGGCAACAGCAAAGCTCCCCTAGGCTTGAGGAGATGTAGGACAATGCCCTGTAGCATGCAGACTTTTTGTGCTTTTAAAATGAATCCCAGAAAGTTGTGGAGGAAGAAGTGATTGCATCTGCTTGTACTCATCCTGCCTCTTGAAGAAGCACCTTCTCCTTGGGCATCAGCTTGTAGCAGGATGTTTATGTTTCAGGAATCCTTGTGTGCCAAGCTGGCTGCATCTTGGAGAAACTCAACGAGTACTTGGAGGACCAGGGGTTTATCATGCCACTTGACTTGGGAGCGAAAGGTAGCTGTCACATCGGTGGCAATGTGGCCACAAATGCTGGAGGTTTACGGCTCTTGAGATACGGCTCTCTGCGAGGGACAGTGCTAGGCCTGGAAGTGGTAAGGCGAGTACATGGCAGTTCTCTTCTGTGTTTATACCTTTGCTTCATACCTTTCCAGCTGTTCTAGCCCTTAACTATCCGTTGTGCAGGCTTCCACTCTTAACTTTTCCTTTCATGGCTTTTTTGAGAAGGGTTAACAAGTGTCTTCACGGGTACAGCGTCTGTTATTGCTACTGCAGTTTCCAGCTTCCACCTCTTCCTTACTGACAGAAGTGATATTAGGTGGTTTTCTAATCCAGAGAAGATAGGGAGAGTTTTGGTGATCCCAAATTTGGTTGGTTTCTCTGTGGAGTGGTGCGTCTCTGGAACGCTCTGCTAAATCGATCCTACAGTACTCTTCTAGTGGCTGCTCACTCGACTTTTAATAGAGCCATCTGCTTTGAATTCGTTTGGCTGCTGGATTTATCCTAGAGTCTTTGCTGTTCCTCAGCCTGCTTCTGCTCCACAGGCCTGCGCCTCTGTATGTAAAGACCAGGATTAGTGGGTCTAAAAGGTTTCGGGGCTTGGGAGCCAAGAGGTTGTAGGAAATAAATTGGGAAGGTAACAAAAGCCTGGTTTGGTTTTATTGTGTAGGCCCAGAAAGGAGAGCTTTTCTCTCTCAGGTTAGTACCTCTAGTGTCAAAACAGCCTTTAATAGCATGACTTAGAGCTATTAAGACTTGATTTAAGGCTCAAGTGGTGGAGGCCTTCATTCTGGTGAGCTATGTTCACTATTTCAAATAGTGTTCCCTCTGTCTGTTGAATAATGGGAGCTAGGGCTGCAAAGAATGGCTGATCTTCGCCACCACTGCTGAGAAAAGCAGTGTGAACTCGATCTGCTTGTCCTGCTGGAATGTGTGCAAACACTGTAAAAAAAGAAGCAGAAAGGTTTGAGGGAAGACGGGTAGGATGTAGAGGGGAGGAAGAGCTGGGAATGGAGGAACAGTGACGAGACTGGGAGTGGACTGTAGCTGGTGTCCAGTGCTCAAGGCTAGTGGCAGGTTTTCATCAGCTTATGACAGCAGAGTTCTACATGGTGCATTGACTGGGTCTTTCTATTCCCACAGGTGCTGGGTGATGGCTCAGCTCTGAATTGCTTGGCATCTCTGCGCAAAGATAACACTGGCTATGATTTGAAGCAACTTTTCATCGGATCTGAGGGGACCTTGGGAGTTGTCACTGCTGTCTCCATACTCTGTCCTCAGAAACCTAAGGCTGTGAATCTGGCATTCCTAGGTAGGAGCTGATATTAATAATTTCACACCTAAATTTGGAGGCTGGGAAGGGAATAGGAATGGAGAGATGAAAGTACTGGTCAGTCTGCTGAGCTCAACTACCAGCATCATCTTATTCCTGAGAAATAGTATGGTGCTGTATGTTAAAATACCCATACAGTTACTTTATATCTGTGGTGTAAACGTGTAAAATATGTGCAAGCATGGGTTGCTCTGCAAGGGACGAGGAGCCAGGAGCTTAGCAGGATGAAGAGGCAGACAGGACACTGTCCACTGACGAGGGCCTGGTCTGACAGTACCTGAGTGAGGGGAGCAGGGCAGGTCTGGTGACACCAGGCAGAGGCAGCCACAATCCAGCGGTCACCAGGTGAGTCCATAGTGACAAGGCAAGAATGGAAATTCAAGTCTTCAGGTCAAGGTCTAGATCAGCAGGGTTCATGGTCAGGCACAGCTGCTTAAAAGCTGCTTCTGAGGGAGCCTCATCAGGGGTGCTGAGAGCTGTGCAAACAGCGGTTTGTGGGGAGCCTTCACTGAGATTTTTCTCAAAAGCCTCCAAGGCCAGCAGGGGCTTCTCAGATAGCTTGCTCATATCAGCTGTGGCCTTGAGAGCAGAGAGCTGAGCTCCTAGGAGGGGATGAGCAGACTCCAAGCACTGACAGACCTGTGGACTGTGTGCACTGGACCCCAGAATTTGCCTGGACTCTCACAGTAGCCTTTAAATTTCCCTTGGTTGCCTTCTTGCTGGTGCTAAGAACTGAGGTTGGGGCAGATGTTTTGGAATGAACTGTCTTAGATTATTCAAGAGGTCCTTGCCATAGCAGACTAATTGTTATGTCCTCTTCCTGTTGTGCTCTGAAACCTTTCCCGTTACAGGAACTGCTGATCTAAACCCATGCAGGGTAGCAGTTTACATTTTCTGGAGATGGGAAAGATGACTTGAAGCCTGATAGACTATTTAAAACTTTTTACAAGGTTTTGAGGCGCTGTTTTTTTTGTTCCTGATTCCTCTCTGTGTCCTGTCTGAAGGGTGTCAGAGTTTTGCTAAGGTTCTGGAAACATTTACAACCTGCAGAGCCATGCTGGGAGAGATCCTGTCTGCCTGTGAGTTCATGGATGAGAAGTGCATGGAATTGGTTGAGAGACATCTCAAGCTGTCCAGCCCAGTGACAGGTACCAGGGTCATTCATGCTGCAGAAAGAGGCATTGTACTGCTTGGGGGATTTTTAGCCTAGTTTTATATACATACATATTTTTTTATATATATATATATATATACACACATATATATATATATATACACATATATATATATGTATGTCAATGAGCATGTGGGCACCCCTCATAATTTTTCTACTCAGTATTCAATTCCAAACACGTTTGGCGGAAGTCTTTAAATATAAGACTTTTTACTTCTACTTGTTTCCACCAAACTGCTAATTTACTGAAAAGGGGTAGCTGGGTACAGGATAGAGCATGTAAGTGAAGTGTCCTACAGATAAAAGATTGCCACTTGAGCTGTCCTTCCACCTGGCACCAGAGAATCTGTGCAGTAAAGCAACCTCATGGAACATGCCAAGCTTGGGAGAAGCTTCACAACCTCTGCTAAATTCCTGTGCTTTTACACCAGAGCATCTGCTTATTCTTTCTCCCTCACTTTCAGGCAGCCCTTTTTACGTTTTAATTGAAACTTCAGGCTCCAACTCGACCCATGATGAAGAAAAGTTGAACAACTTCCTAGAACAGGCCATGACTTCTGGTTTGGTCACTGATGGAACTGTGGCAACAGATGATAAGAAAATAAAGGCAAGTCACTGTTGCTTCTTGCACAAATGTCTTTGACATGATTCTCTACTAGGATTTGTATTTTTATTAGGTAAATGTTCAGACTGATGTTTAGTATAAACATCCCTGAGTGATCTGGTAGCTTATTCCACATACTGAGTAAGAATGCTAAGAGAAAATACCACTGCTGACTCTTCCCAGAAGGCCTGAGTATTTGGGGTTTCAGTGGATGTTTCCCCTTTCAAAAAGATAAGAATAAGGAATTACATCTTGTAGATGCTGGGGTAGGACCCAAACTGCCTGTAAACTACCAAAACCAGAAGCTGAGTTGTCAGCAAGGTCAGGAGTGAGCAAAGCACTGGAGGCTGACATGACAGTATGTTAGAACCAGAGACTGTGGTCTCAGGGAACTACACAGACACATAGTGTCTCACTAAGAAACTCTCATTTGCATCTGCCCGGTGAACATGAGGCTTTTACTCTGACCCGTGTTTCTTCCAGCCCCTGTTCCCACACTGACCCTTGCAGTTTAGTAGAGGAGGCGCATCCTCACTTCTCAGGAAACCCAAACCAGCTTTGAGAGAAAATGCCCATGCCTGTGTTCTTTCTCTCTGGAGTGCTGTCAAGCTTGAAGAGTTGGTGTATTACTTTGCTTTCTTAGCAGCATTGTACAGTGTTATTACCAGCTTCCAAGAGGCAGAGGATGTCGAGGGAAATGAGTAGTTGATGTTACACGCAAAGAATCGAGGCTCTTTTTCCTCCGTGCTACAAAGCATGGAACCCAAGGGGCACTTGGTTTATCTGGATTTCTTTGATCTTTGGTTCATCAGGCACTGTGGAGCCTGCGGGAGAGAATCACGGAGGCCCTCACTCATGATGGCTATGTCTACAAATACGACATCTCTCTCCCTGTGGGAAAGCTGTATGATCTCGTGACTGATACAAGGGCTCGCCTGGGCCAGAGTGCCAAAAATGTGGTGGGCTACGGCCACTTGGGTAAGTGTGGATGCTGGGAAAGGAGGCAATTGCTCTTCTGTGCTCCTGGTTTTGCTGCACAACTTCCTAGTAGCTGTAAAGGTTGTTTTTAGATCAGTGAGAGGCATAGGCTAAATAGCCAGGAGCTATCAGAAGAGGAGGATGCATAAGGATCTTGATGTTTGAATTTCATTGCTTTCAGACTGTGTTCCATATGTTAATGGCAGGTTGCTAGCCAGCCAGCCACTGAACTGGTCATTCGTCTTCTTGCTCTGTACTTTCTGTTTGAGTATGACGGTTGTTTAACTGGACCATGAATTTGATTAATGTACTTAGACACATGTGGTACATAAATGCTTTCTTGTCCAAAGTGATTAGTTATGTTTGGAAATCAATTTTGTGTGAGCCATTAACCCTCCAGGAGAAAGTGATGAAGCACAGAAAGGCTGGTACATTTGTCAGAATACTTTGAAACTGATTTGATTTTACAAGCAGGTAAATTGGTAGCTTAGCAGAGCTGTTCTGATAAAAAAACCCAAAGTACAGGACTTTCTTAAGCACTCTTGATTTGAGATGATTTGAAAGACAAGTCTGCGTAACAGAGGCTGCCTCTGGTAGCTCTTGGTATCGAGATTTAAATTGTGTACTGTGAGGGTTTGCTGGGTTGCAGGCAGAGGTTCCAGAGTGAGAATAAGTAAGCTGTGTTTGTTTTGTCTTCTGAATACCCAGCAACTACATGCTTAATCAAATACTATCATATGCCAAATGGCAAAAGGAGAAAATGTTCTGCTTTCTTTGTTTCTGTTGATGCAGTGCCAAAGTGCATTTAGAACATTGCACAAACATAATGGAGAGAGAGAAAGTGATGAAGGGCCATATTAAAATCTAATGATCATTATGAAATACCATTGGGGAAGTCTATGCATGTCATCTCAGTAGTGGGACAGTAATCAATGCAGCACTGTTTTAATTTTAAAATCACAACAGTGGGAATTTGAAAGTAGCTTAACTCAGAACACTCTCTCAAATACTGTACTGAAAGCATGGAAAAACAAAGATCCTATTTGAATTATTTGTGCATGGAGAGGCTGATGTTTGTAGAAGGACCGTGGACTTGTCCTTTCTCGCACGTTTTGGAGACTAACAAAGGCACCATTGTTTGAATACATGGAAGAGGCAGTAGTGAGTCTCCATTGCAGGGCCACTGAGTTTTTCTTACAGACCCACCTCTGGAATGTTTTCTTGCAGGAGATGGAAACTTGCACTTGAACATCACAGCGGAGTCCTATAGCCATTCACTGCTGGGTGCCATCGAGCCGTTTGTGTACGAGTGGACCACAAGATACAACGGCAGTGTCAGTGCAGAGCACGGGCTGGGCTTCAAGAAGAAGCAGTTCATTCAGTACAGCAAAGCCAGTGAGGCAGTCTTTCTAATGCAGCGTTTCAAAGCCATGTTAGACCCCAAAGGGATCCTCAATCCCTACAAGACACTGCCCTCTCGTTCCTGAGAGCAGCGCACACCCAGAACGAGCAGATCCCATCACGCGAGGATGGCGTCTCTAGCTCAGTTACTGCACTTTAGCCATAAACAAACTGCTGGATCAATCAAGCATGTGGAATGCTCCTTGTTTTATTTTTTTAGTGTGATGGAACAAGTAAAGGAACGTGGTTCCTCTTCTCAGGGGTGCCTGCTCTTTCTGAAGAAATACTCAGTACTAGTTTTGATGGTGCGAGTTTCCTATTTAATCTGAGGACTGAAAGCAAGCATGCAGATATTATGTGTGGATATTCCAGCTCTCTTTCCCCTTAGTTTGCTCTGATTTTTCAGTGAAGTGACACCAGCCAGAGGAGACATTTTTGTGCTTGGGGTGTGCAAGTGTAACATCAGAGGCACAAAAGAATCTGTTGATGCTACACCACCATCTCCAACTGAAAACGTTCCTCTTCCTCACTTGTTTTCATCTGATATGCTTGTCGGAAAGTGCATGGCAGCATCAGGTCATGACCTCTGTAGTGATGCCACATGCAGGCTGTCCCCACGGGCATTGATGTTGTCTCACAGCATGCAGCTACAGGTTTGCAGTCCTGGAAGGACGGGCCCGAGGAGGTTCCCAGAGACCCAGCTCCTGGGTGGTATCAGCTGGGGAGGAAAAGCCAGCAGCCAGGCTGAGGGAAGGGACATCTGGCAGGTTCAGGCATTATTTCCTGCTTCCTTGTCTTCCAGTCTGTCCTTGACAGCAAGTCCTCGTTTGCTCTCACAGAGGGTGAGAGCCGTTACCTTAATGATTTACAGAGATATATAAAATCTGTATCCCTGACAACCAGCAAACTGTATTAGGCTGTATGCAGATGACAGTGATGTTAAAATCACCCAGAGCTTTTTCCACACTGTGCATGTGCAAAAGACAAAGGCAGAAGACATTTCTGTGCTAATTTATTTTCCTGAGGTGCCCCCTTACCCTGGCAGAGGTGGTTCTGAGGCTCCCTGGCCAGTGGGCAGGCTGGTACCTGCATCCAGTGTCCTGCTTGAGTTAGTGAGGCCACAGAACGGTTCAGACAGACGTTACCCAAAAGCAGCTTGGAAGGTCTGGCAATAGTCAAGAAAATAAAGGAGTAGAAAAATAAAATCAGCTTGTCTGGCATTCAGGAGGATCCCTGATTGCAAACGATGCATTAAAAAATATGCTTACTCAAGCAGGAGGGTGAGAGAAAGAAGATGGTGGTGTAGGAAAGTACCAGAAGTCAGTGCAAAACCTAACAGAAGCTTATTTTTAAAGTAGGCTGATTTTACTCATGTTCATTCTCTGACCACTTCTTCATGCCCTCTAACATGTGTCACCTGTGCTGCATGTCCAGGGACACTTGTAGGAGGATAAGGAATGTTTGGACACACCTTTTATACCTCTTAGGAATCACTGATCATTATGGAAGGATCCTTTTGACTTGGGATCTTGCCTGATCCTCCACAAATCCCAGGCAGTGTCTCTGTTGCCTCAGTTTGAGTATTTTTTTAATTAAAGATTTTAGCAAGGCTTTTGATGCTGTCCATCACAGCATCCTTCTGGACAAGTTGTCTTGCTGTGTGCTGAGCAGGTTCATGATGTGCTAGGTGAAAAACTGAAGGGCAGAGCTCACAGGGTTGTGGTGAACAGGGCTACGGCTGGCTGGTGACCGGTCACCAGCAGTGTGCCTCGGGGCCCAGTCCTGGGGCCGGTGCTGTGCAGTGTTTTTATCAGTGAACTGGGTGCAGGAGTTGAATGCTCCCTTAGCAGTTTTGCTCATGATACCAACTGGGAGGTGCTGTTGACTCTCTGGAGGAACAAGAGGCCTTGCAGAGGGATCTAGACAGGCCGGCACAACGGGCAATCCACAGCGTGAAATTTAACACGTCCACATGCTGGATTCTGCGCCTGGGACAGAGTAACACTGGGCACGGATAAAACGGGAGGAGCTGGAGAGCAGCCCTGCAGAGAGGGGTCTGGGGGTGCTGGTCGGCAGCAGCTCAGCAGGAGCCAGCAGCATGCCCTGGCCCAAGAGGACAAACCCCCTCATGGGTGGGTCTGGCACAGCGCGGCCACTGGTGGGAGAGGAGATTGTCCCGCTGGGGTCAGCGCCTGCGCGGCCTCTCCTGGAGTGCTGGGTGAGCGCTGGGTCAGCGCTGGGCCCCACCGTTTCAGAAGGATGTGAAGATCCTCGGGTGCACCCAGAGGAGGGTGAGCGAGCTGGTGAAGGGCTGGAAGGCCTGTCCTCTGTGGAGCAGCTGAGGACTCTGGGTTTGTCTAGTCTGGGGAAAAGCAGGCTGAGGGGTGACCTCATGGCTCTGCAGCTTCCTGAGGAGGGGACGTGGAGAGGGAGGTGTTGAGCTCTTCCCCCTGGCATCCAGGGACAGGGTGTGTAGGAATGTCTCAAAGCTGTGACAGGGGAGGTTCAGACTGGACATTAGGAAGCATTTCTTTACTGAGAGGGTGGTCAAACACTGCAACAGGCTTCCTAGAGAGGTGGTAAATGCCCCAGGCATGTCAGTGTTTAAGAGGCATTTGAACTCTGTCCTTAATAATATGCTTTAGCTTTTGGTCAGCCCTGAAGTGAGCAGGTCATCAACTGGGCTAGGTGATTATTGTACACCCCCTCCAACTGGACTGTTCTATTCTAAGGTGGGTTTTTTAGTTGGTTTGTTTTGGGGGTTTTTTTGTTGTTTTTTTTTTTTCCTACAGTCTGTCTCTGTTTTGAGATGACAGGAGAGATTGCCATTTACAGTTTGGTGTACAATGTCACATTGTCCTGCTTCTGTTATCAGAGGGCAGGCCAAGCCGTCTGCTAGTGAGTCATCTTCTGGTGTACCCAATGTTCGTTAGTCACATCCGTATTTGCCAATACATGTCACTCTCTTAACCTAGGCTCTATTGTGTCCAGGTGAAGCAGGTGATTGGGAAAAGCCCAGGGGGTTGCCAAAGGTAAATCACGTCACTAACCTGACCACCTTTTGCAACAAAATACCATTTTATGTCAACGTGGGGAGAGCAGTGGATGTTGTTTGCCAGGATGTGAGCAAAGCATCCCACACTCCTTCCCACAGCCTTCTGGACAAGCTGGCAAGGCAGAGCCTGGGTGGGGGTCTGTGAGATGGGCTGGAAACTGGCTCACCAGCTGTGCTGAGAGGGTGGTGATCAGTGGGGTTTACTCCAGTCTACTGGTTTGGGAGGCCTCACCAGACTCCATGAGACTAGGGAACATGGTTGCTTTACCCACTAGTTGTCTTCTCCATTAGCTGCTTTGCAGTGATTTCTGCTCTTCCACTGTGCAGTGAAACAGATGTTCCATCCAGAGCCTTTTTCTTGGAAGAAAATCATTTTATAGTCTTTTTTTCTTCTGTTTTTAGCCAGAACACTGTCTCTACAGGGCTGCAAGCTGTTGAATTGCATTAAGGGTGATGGCTTACGCTCAGCATTGTGTTTCAACACCCTTCACAATACAGTTCTAAGGTCACAACTCTCTCAACTGGGCCACACGGATGCTTTTAACAGAAATACCTCTGTAATGCAATCTCCAGTGCCAGTGTCTAGGCCCACCCTCGGGTCTCTTCCCTTCAGCTCCCTCCTTCTCTCTGGTATGGGTGCACTCCCCACCCCTCCCTTCATTTCTCAGGACTGCTCAGAGAGGAGCTGATGAAGCAGAGTGAACAATGCCATCATTACCAAAGAGAAGACAGACTGTGAAATGCAGTCAGCCTGTGCTGCTTGTGTATCAGGTGATGCAAAAATATGGAAAATCCATGATGTTGTTAGAGAAGAAATGTACAGGATTTGCTTTCTGCCAAGTTAAGCTGATGCAGCTTGTTCTTTCCGGATCAGGCTGTTTATATTCTCTGCCTTTTTCCTATGCCATTCTTTCTCTTTTTTTTTTTTTTTTTTTCCCCCCAAACCACTGACCATAATTGTTTAAAATACAGGCTTTACATGTGAATGGTTCTTTTTGGGAAGCGGAACTTTCCATACTGCTTTTTTTCAACTACATATGGAGTGCTAGGGAGGGAGTCAGGGCTGACAGACAACCTAGTGCTGTGGCCAGGGAAATTCTGGCACAGCTACTTTTAGCCATCTTCTTTACACATGAAGATCCTTAAGCTCAATGTAAGTTTACCATTCCAGCTAAACAATAGAGCACTTACCCTGAGGGACTAGAAGGGAGGAGTTATCGGAGTGTTATTTTACAGTATCTTTTCTAGAGCTTAAACACCAGTATTATCCTTCTCTTCCATGTTCTCAATGATGCTTTCAAATATAGGTTCACTGTTTTATATAGGAGGGAGAGTCAGGGTGGGTACCTATATGTGTGGGGGGGTATTTTTGTAAAGCAGCATGGTGGTTGGAATTTCTTGTCCAAAATTCTATTTTTTCTAGGACTGACGTAACTATTAGAATGATGTGGGTGTGGTTGCTTGATGCTTTGAGGCAGCTGTTTTCTGGCACAGTGAGGAAGCATTTGACTCTTTGTACTGGTTTTGGCTGGGATAGAGTTAATTTTAATCATCGTAGCTGGTATAAAGCTGTGTTTTGGATCTGTGACCGGTGTTGATAGCACAGGGATGTTGTAGCTGTTGCTGAGCAGTGCTTGCACAGCATCGAGGTCTTTTCTGCTTCTCACCCTGCCCCACCAGTTGTGCAAGGGGTTGTGCAAGAAGCTGGGAGGGGACACAGCTGGGGACAGCTGACCCCAACTGACCTAAGGGATATCCCATAGCATGGGACGCGCTCAGCCATAAAAGCTGGGGAGAGGAGGAGGAAGGGGGGGTTTAGCGTTACAGCATCTGTCTTCCCAAGTCACTGTTGTGTGTGATGGAGCCCTGATTTACCAGGATGGCTGAACATCTGCCTGCAGTGGGAAGCAGTGAATGGGTTTCTTTTGCTTTGCTTGGGTGCACAGCTTTTGCTTTACCTGTTAAACTGCTTTTATCTCAACCTGCAAGTTTTTGCACTTTCACCCTTTTAATTCTTCTCCCCATCCTGCTGCTGGGGGGTGAACAAGTGGCTCCATGGAGCTGAGCTGCCCATAAGGGCCGACCCACAACGCTCTCCCCTAAGCAAGCAGACGTGTGAAGTGGGGCCAGTGTGGAGCTATTAATTCAGCATCCTTCCCTAGCTAACTAATTTTGCATCAGCTGCCTTACCTTCACTGCTTCCAGTCTCAGAGCAGCCTAGTCCCACGTGAAGCCAAGCATTTCTGTACAGCACCGTGTTTTTCTGCGTAACCAAACCTGACAATTCATGTACAACAACCCAGGAGAGATCAATGAATCAATTGTGAAAGTGTAAAAAATGGCCTTTTGTGATTTGTGGGCTCTACCAGCTTCTGATCAAGGAATTGCACAGTTGACGTCTATAATGTAACAGGAGAAAGAAGTCTATTGAACGTGACCCCCCCCTGCCAGCAGCAACTGACACTGTGCCAAGAGTAACCCTAGAAATTCTTCGTTAAACAGCACATTGGCTCATGTTCTGCCAAGAAACTCAAGGAAAGCAACCCTATACCTTGCTAATCTCTGAATCTTGATAAGCACTGGAGCTGGGGCTGGCCTGCGGAAGGTGTGATTTAAAAAGAAATGCTGTCTGTTTGGACACTCTGAAGACATAGCAGTGTAGGTGAAGGATGCCAGAATGCTGAGGACTGGGCTCTCAGTGTGGCACCATGGGTGGGGAGGGAACTATGTCAGGAGATGCGTGGGAAGTGGCACAGCCATAAAAGACCAAAAGCAACAGCTTAATCCCCTGTTCCGGGCTGGGAGATGTGGGTAAACTTTTTGTTGCCAAAATGAGGAGAGCACTGACTTCATCCCCAGCTTGGGGAGTGGGGAGGTTACCCCACCTCCAGATTTGCAGGACAAATCCTGCTCTCCTGAGGCAATTTGCAACCATCAAACCTAGTTTGTGAAGTGCTCATGTACAGCAGCCTTGGTGGAATCTCAAATTCCTGCGTTATGCAAGTTGTAATAGTTGTTACTAACACCAGCAAGTCACTTCGTGGACAAGTAGTAAAATAACACCCTTAGGGACAGGAGCTCTCTCTACAGCAAAGTCTCTAAGCTTTTAATCTCCAGCTGCAATATTTGCGTTTTTACTGGGGAAGAGTTTGAAGTCTAAATGTTTTAAGGGGAGTTTCTGGTAGGTGAACGCTGTTCTTGTTTTGCTGTTGTCCCTAATTTCCTGTCACCAAATGTGTCTGACAGTCCTAAACCACAGAGCAAGAAGAGGAAAGTGGCGGTGGGCAGGGAGGTGGCACAGAACGAGCTCTGTGTTGGTGTGCAGGGTGACAAAGAGGGTGATGCTGCCCTCCTCCAGTCCCCTGCCACCCTGCCTGGGTCCTGCCGTCACCCCCCACACCTCCCGGGGAGAAGGGGGGTCCCCACAGAGGGGTCCCTGCTAAACCCTTACTTCCCTGCAAAACAGTTGCAAGCCTCATCTCCCAAGGCAGCTCTTTGTGTTAATGTCATGCCATACCAGCGCTTTTCATGGCTTATTAATTAACTTCCCCCCACCCCTGGGAACACCTAGCCACTCCCTTTGTCCTCACCTGTCCCAGCCATTTATAGCAGTGAAGGGATGCTAGAAATAGAGACAGAGCCGCAGGAGCCCAGAGACGACAGGAGTATTGGAGTCGATTTGCAAAGGAGGTATTTTCTAGTTTGCAGCAGTGAGGCAGCATGAAAAGCCCTGGGTGCACTTCAAGGTAAGGGGAAAGGGACGCGAATGCTGTGGGTGCAGAATTAAAATGCTTGTAGAAAGGTCTGGCTCAGGTAATCCCTTTAAATTGTTAACCTATAGAGTTAATTACAGTTCGCTCTAGGGTCGAGATTAATTTCCCCGTGAATGTTTCTTTCCTGTATTCCAGGTCTTTTAATTTGAAAGAACCTTGTTAGCTTGACACAGAGATCTGTTATTTCCGGCTTAAGCCAAATGAACAAGAAGGTTGTCTCAAGCCTTAAAGCATCCATAGTGGCATCTCCAAATGCGACCTGAGGGGTAGTTTTCCGTGTTTTCTTCCTGGCTGGGAGATGGCACGGCGCAGGTCAGAAAGGTGAGTCAAGCTTCTGGTGCCAGCCCTGCTGACAGCTCCACAAGTTTTTTGGCTTCTTAGAAGGATTTCGTGTCTTAGCAATCAGCTCCCAAGTGCTTCCTCGGAGGGCTCCCAGGCTGGTTGCGTGTCTATCGTGCTTAGGTAACTTGTCTGTGACATTCAGATTGTGGCTTTGTCTCTTGAACTTTGCTTTGCACAAGACTATAGTAAAGGGGCAAAAAAGTAAATGGTGGCTGTGATTGTGCCCTGCAACTTTCAGCTATGTCGGGCTTTGTGCATCCCAGGTGAAATGCTTCCTTGTCGTGGGCAGAAAAAAGAAATCGTTGCAGCCGTGATCCTGTGTGCCGTACCCTCCACACTCCCATCGATGTGCCATGGTTATGAAATCCCTTTGCTGATGGCTGTAGCCATTTGTATAAAAGATCAGCTCTGTCTTCTGTAACACCACGTACCTGCCTGGTTCATCTTCAGCCTGCCCATGCGAGAGAGTCAACAGTAAAATATCTCGGGCGTGTGGTACTTGTCTTTCTTGAAGGGATTAAAGGATGGGTGATATTTTAACCAACGTTGAATATGGTGTCTGTTGGCCCAACACATACAGATTTAGAAGTGGCTTGGTCAGAGACTTGCAGTCTTGTGGCACTAAGGGAACACTCTTTAAGAGCAGAGCTGGCTCTCACAGAGGTGTGCTGGGGCAGTGGGTGCAGAATGGGTGGTGAAACCCCCTGTGCAGGTTTGCAGGATGTGCTGAAGCCGGTGACAGCCCCTGCGAGTGCAGCTGCGGGTGGCCAAGCTCCAGAGGCTGATGGGGGTGGGAATCCCTGAAGTGACTGGGGACAAGACTCAGCTGCATGAGTGCACTGACCAGTGCCCTGTGTACCTGAAACCCTCTCCTCTCCCCTCACCCTGGTCTATTTTCCTGCACTCCTCCCTGGGGATCACCTCGATCCCTGCCCTTGGCCCTTCACCTGAACACCTCCAGCATTCGCCTTCACTGGGCTGACGTGCAGTGGGGTGGAGGTGGCTGCAGTCTCCTCCTTGTCCCCGCTCCCTGCTCGCTCCCGGAGCCGGAACCTTTCCATTCACACATCCCCAGGCAGGGGTACAAGCACCGCGCCACAAGATACCATTGTTTGACACCCTCAGAACAAGAAGCCCATCATTTCCCTGTGGGGACTGGCACCTCCGTGGCATATGTGCCGAAGGAATCAGTCACTCTTGCTCCTTAAAACTGGCCATTCCAGGAAGCTGCCATGGTTCTGGCAAGCCCAGTGTAGGCTGGGCTGCCACTGCTTATGGTGACAGTGACGACATTGCTCGGCTGCAGGTTGCTGTTGTCTTCAGGACAGTGACACGAGGAGCAGGGTGAGCTTCGCATGGCCCCTCGGGGCTCACTGGTGGCGCTTTTGTGCCCATAACTTGCCCATGGGGCATGTTTGGTGCTGCAATACCAGTCCTTTGTGCTGCACCAGCAACACTTCGAGGCTTTACGTGCCTAGATAATCCAGACTATTACCCCTCCCCATGTCTCCATGTGAAAAAGCCTGCTGTTGTTTGGGGCTTTCAAAGCACATCCAGACAAAACGAATCTGCTGGGAACATCCAGTTGCACTGGAGATGGGCTTGGTGTGCTGCATGTGTTTGAAGATTTGGAGTCAGGACAGCATTATGTAATCTCTTATTAAAGTAAACGACTATTAAGATATAATGGATGCCTTGAGGTGATAAGATGTAGAGGTCTACAGAGCCTGTCTTCTTGCAGCAGAAGGGACTGTTAATCCTTCTGGAGCATATTGTGATCCTGATCTGTCTTCAGGGTTGTTGAAGGTGTATGCTGATTTATTTGCCCCATAAAACATCAATCTGGGTAGCCCTTGCGGGGACACCACCCAAACAAACATGTGGACTGTTACTGCAGGCATTGAAGTCCACAGAAAAGGTGCAGAAGAAGGACATTGCCGGATGGGCTTAGGCAAGACCTCCAGACAGGCAGGATGACATGTTTTGGAAAACCATTGCACCAACATCGGCTTCAGTTTAAATGAAAGACCAAGAAAATAGGCAGAGGCTGCATTTGACAGATGTGAGCCTGCTCTCTCATATCTGATGTGGGGCCATCTGCATTTCTTCTCCTGTCTCATCTCTACTTGCATAGAGTGATCGAAGAGAAGGGGATTGTTTCACCCCTGTCCCCCTAACAGGTCTGGGACCAAAAAATTAAATATTGATGAAAGACTGCCGCAGCAATGTCTTGAAACTCTTCATGCATGTAGAAGCTGTGCTGCAAATACTTATCAGAGGTTGGTACCAGCTGTGCCTGAGGGTCTTCCCTGGCTTTGGGAAGGGCTCTTCTGCCTGAGAATTTCCCACTTGGGCCAGGGTGCCCTTGGACAAGGAAAACACTCTTGTGCAAAGCAAAGCTTGAAGCAAAAGTGGTTTCTGGCAGGTTTGCATGGTGCGCAAAGTCAAATGCTTTTCTGCAGTGCCGTCACGATGTTGCGACATCGCAGCTTGTCTCCACTCTTCCACTGTGTTTACATTCAGTTTGTGGCTCCCCGCTCAGAGCTAGTGCAGCTGGCTACGATGGCTGTTTTTATGTGCAGCTCTCCACGTTCTGTTGGACTTTGCTCCCATCCTCTCTCCAGTGATCCATGGCTGGATCCAGGCTGTCACAGCCCAGCTTATCCTATGGCCAGTCAGTGGGAGGCTGTAGACCAGGTCAGATAAAGCTGGTGGTTGTGCTCTTGTGAGGCCAACTGGAAGGAGCAATTCAGTGTCTTTCACGTGGTACAAGCTGGAGGCTATGGAAGCTACCACCCTGTGCATCAGGACCATGTGTGAGGACCCCTTGGACAGAAGGCCGGTAGAAAGGACCACCAGGTCCAGCCCACAGCAAGCCGTGTACGCCCACTGATCCTCAGACTGGGCAGGCTTGGGGCCTTCCTTCTTTGTGTGGGAGAGTGGGAACCATGAGTGTGACCATCCCATGCTGTAAATGGGACTATATCTTCTCAAAACAACTTAAAACCCAAGCCAGATCTGCTGTGTTTTAGAAATGGCAGCTGGAAACATAGAATTCACACCAAGTTAAAAAAGGTTTTAGGATCAGAGAAGCCAGATCAAGCTTGGTGATGAAAAGTTCATTTTTGGTGGGCATCAAGCCTTCCTCTACATGTCCCAGCTAGAAGGCACTGACATGGTGATTGCATAATTAGTGCTGGGAAAGACTCATCGCTCGTCATTACCCAAGTAAAGCAGGGGTAGATGAAGTGCTTGGTCCAAAGGGCTGCCTCTCATCTCAGGCAGTTTAAAGTCTGGCCAAGGCGAGAAAATCTGATGAAAGGGTGAGGCTGAGCATGAGAGCTGACCTGGGAGGGGAAACTGTCACAGCAGGGAAGCAGTGCTCTTGTTTGAAAGCAGGGGGTAATTAGTCCGTTACCAGCGCTGTTGGGTTATTAATCGGTTTTCTGTATTGAAAAAAATCTGTTACATCGGAAAAAAAAAATAAATCAGTTTAGTGTTTCTTTGAGATCCCCATCTTCTGGAGTGATAAGATTACAGCAGCCGCTCAGATTTCTTACCAGGGAAATCCTTATATCCTTACAAAGGGCTCATTTTCTAGTGAATAAACGAGAAGTTTGAATAGTGAATAAGATCTAAAGCTACAGAAACCAAAAGAAAAGCAAATTAAAAGGCAGCAGAGCAGAGTGGGAGGCTGTTGGAAGAGTTTAGGCTCTGCCCAAAGTAGACTGTGTTTTGCCAAAGGCTGAAGTTCAGAAGAGTGATAGTGAAAGTGCAATTTCTCACTGTTCTGCCTCTGAGCTGCTGATGGAGCTGGGGGAGCCAAAGGTAGCTGACACCAATGAGACATAAAATTGTGCTCGCGGTGATAAAAATTCCCAAGGGCAATATGCAAAGTTTGGTGGTTCACATTCAGGAAGGACTATCGGATAAAAATCCACTGAAACTCCTCTTTATTTCTTTCTTTCTTTGTTTCCAGGCAATGTCTCATTTTCAGCCTTTGCCTGGGACTCATCTTCCTGTCAGGATTCTTCCATATGAAGAACAAAAAGTACGTGTGTAAGTGAAGCAGAAACAGGGTTGCATGACTTTGTCTGCCCAGGGCAGCAAGGATCTGACCTGTGACACGTGATTTAACTCTCATGAGGTTTAGGCTAATACTGGAAGGGCAGTGGCCCAAAGTTAGGTCCACATTTGAGCAGGCAAGGGATCAAATTAACCAAAGTGCAGCTCTTCAGGTCAAAATAAGCCATATGGAAAAAGTGGATTGATCTTTGGGTAAGTGAGGACCTGGAGAAGCAGAAAACTGACTTGTACATCTGAAGGATGGGGCTTGTTTGAGCTATTGCCTTGCACCAGATGCAGGTGTGGTATCAGAAGGAGAACTTGCTCAGGTTTGGCTTTGCCAGTCTCAGAGGTGAGGTACAGTACTGGAGAGGCTGTTTTTCCCATCTCTTGCCTTCCTGCAGAATCTCGAAGAGCCCCAAGGAGCTGCTGATGTCTTCCATGCCTTGCCGTGCCAAGACTAACGTCATGTTCCTCAAGACTCACAAGACAGCCAGCAGCACCGTCCTGAACATCATGTTCAGGTTTGTGGAGAGGTACAATCTCACCGTCGCCCTCCCAGCTGACCAGCTAGTCCACCTGGGCTACCCAAAGACCTTCCTGGCCCACTTTGTGGAGGACTTTGAAACCATAGGACAAAACTACAACATCATGTGCAACCACCTGCGGTTCAACCCCTCGGAGGTAAGAAAGAGCTGTGGCATCTGTGGAGAAACGTGGCTGAATAAGCAGTGCCTCCAGACTTTAACAGCCTCTCTTCTTCCTCCCTGCAAATAGGTGCGGAAGGTGATGGCAGAAAACACCTTCTACTTCTCCATCCTGAGGAACCCCATTCCTCTGTTGGAGTCTTCCTACATCTACTACAAGGACACTGTCCCTGCCTTCAGGATCTCCAAGAATGTGAATGTGTACCTGGCATCACCCCTGGAGTATTACTATCCAGAGAATTACAAGCAAAATATCTACGCCAGGAATATCATGTGGTTTGACTTTGGCTACGACAACAACGCAGTGGCCAACGAAAAGTACGTCCAGGCAGTCTTGAAGGATATTGAAAAGAACTTCCATCTGATCTTGATAGCAGACTACTTTGATGAATCCATGATCCTCTTGAAGCACACTTTGTGCTGGGATCTGGATGATGTGATTTACTTTAAGCTCAATTCCAGAAGCCAGGACACCGTCCAGACCTTGACTCCAGAAAGCAAGGAGCGGATAAAAACGTGGTGCTCACTGGACTGGAAACTCTACCTGCATTTCAACCAGAGCTTCTGGAACAGAATTGAGGAGACCATAGGACTCACGCTGTTGGAGAAGGAGGTGAATCTCCTGCGAACGAGACAGAAGGAGCTCATGGAGACCTGTCTCTTGGACCAGGAGGCAGTGGGAAAGGATTACATCAAGGACAAAGCTCTCCTGCCTTTCCAGTCAGGGTCTGCAAATATCCTTGGGTACAACCTCAGACAAGACTTAGACAACAGGACTCTGAGAACCTGCCAGAAGATGGTTATGCCAGAGCTCCAGTACACATCCTACCTTTACAGTCTTCAACACCCACACAAGAAGAGGAAGCGGTTAGGCTTGCCCTCGCTGTGGACCAGTTCTCAGGAGAAGATGCAGCTCTCAACACCCAACTAGGACACGGGGCAACCCGCTGCGATTTCCCACCACTGTGCATCACCCTATATCTGGCATGTGACTGGCCCACAGGACTCTTGCGTATGAGGGGGACGCAGGGTGGGGACTTTCTTTGGGGCCACTCAGCTGGTGGTGGGTCCCTTTTTGGGGACCTCGAGCCAAACACTCTGCACGGGCCAGATCCTGTGTGATCCCTCCTTCCGCTCTCAGGCAGGGGGACAGCCCGCTGCTGCTGAGCACTGGGCAGGCATTCAGCTGGCTTCAACATTCCTGCCTTTTAATCATTAATCACAGGCTTAATAATTTTGTTTGCATTCGACTTTATTTAATAGCCATCATTACGTCCAGGATGGACACAGCTCACTAGAGCGGGTCCTGATTTTCGTTGTTTAGGGGGGAAAAAAGGGGAGGGGAGGGAAACAAGGAGGAGAGCATGACAAGGAAATGCAGAGCTTGAAGGTGTAGGAGAGATACTGGGTCTTCCATCCAGCAGCATCTGTGCTCAGCGACATCCAGCCACCATGCAATGCTAGAGCTGCTTTTTGGTTGGGAGTCCTAAGCACTGTGCCCCAAGCTGGGTGGGCTGGCTGGCATCCTTCCCCTCCTGGCACATGAGATGTACTTCTCGTGTGTCACGAGATGCGGCGGGGCCTCTGCACCACTTGGGACAGCTTGGCGCTCTCCTGGGAGGGCCTGTTTTGTAGTTTGACCCCTCTCTCTTGGGCGAGGTCCCTGGGCATGGACGGTCTCTTGGGCTCAGCACCCCCGAAACCCTTTATCAGCAGAGGCTTCTCTGGGCATCTCCTGTGCTGTGTTGGCCAAACTCTTCAACACTGATTAGGAGAGGGATGGAGGGAGGCATGGCCTTTGCTTGTTTAGGGCATGACCTTATTATTGAAGGAGGTAATTAAACCTGCCTGGGACGTCTTTGCTTGTTAGCCAGCTTCCTGTTGCCGTGCTGGTGCTGAGAAGGTTCGTCAGAAGGACAGCAGCGCCAAGACCAACGTCAGTGCGGTTAATGATTGCCCATCGCCCCTTCCCAGCACACCTGCCATCACCCATGGTGCAATATTTCAGAGCTTGGCCAGCGTCTCTGCCCACTCATGCTGATCAGGGTGGCAGCAGGGACCCGGGTGGTGCGACTGGGTTAATGGATCCAGGGTTGCTTGGCTTGCAGCGTCGCCTCAGTGGTGAAGCTCAGCCCTGGGAGCAGGAGAGATGCTGTTGGAGGGGAGCAGGGTGAGAAGTAGAGCTGGGCTTTTCCTCTGCTGCGTTTAAACCTGGCAGAGAGCCAGGGAAGCCGGCTGAAGCAAGGGTTAACCTCCTCCTGCACTGCAACCTGCCCTCCTCCGCAGCCCATGTGATGCACAACAGGAGCAACACGAGATTAACAGCACCTTCAGTTTTCTGCTCCAGCAACCCCAGCTAAAATTAACCTGGCTTAGGAGGCATTTGTAACTGGTGGAGGTAGGGGAGATGGCGGGTGCACGTGGTCAGCCTGGGCAATACCTGGGGGCCTTTCCCAGCCCTTTCTGCAGCCTGAGCCTGAGCTTTCACCTTGGAGCTTCTGATCCGTGACATGCCATGTGAATTTTGCTGAGCCCCTTTAGCTAAGCTGATACTGGAATAGAGGCATCAAAATAATTACTTAACAGCTGACCTGTGTGCGGATGGGGGTCGTGGGACCCTCTGGCCCACAGCCCACACTCTGGGGAGCTCACAGCTGGGGCAAACCATGGTGAACGTGGGTCACAGCACCTGGACAGGGAGGTCTGGCCTTTCCCAGGGAAACTGAGGCAGGAGATGTGAACACCCCCCCACGGCTCCCTTTGCATCCCTACTCGGGGGTTCTGAACAGGGTGGCTGGGCAGCCACGGGGCCCCCAGCTCTGCCCAGGCTGATAACGGGGCCTTTGTGCCACCCGGCTGCCGCTGCTGACTCAGGGCTTTGTCCCGGCCACCGCCGCTGCGGGAGCCCCGTGACCCATCGGTGGGGGGACCCTGCAAGGGGAGGGTGGCAGTGAAGCAGTGAGGCAACGGGCTCTGCAGAAAGCCAGCGACTGCGGGACCTGGCGGTGCCCCGCAGTGGGGGCGAGGGACAGAGGGGACACCCCAGCCGAGCAGGACCTGGTGAGTGCCTTCACTTTCCCCATGGGGTATTCAATCTACAAAAACTCATAATTAAAAGTCGTCCTTGGCTGCTCCCCAGAGCGAGACACCCATCTCTTCTGCAGGGATAACCTGGGACATGTAACCTGGGGACAACTGGTGGCAGCAGCTCCTGCGGTCCCCAAAGGAAAGGCCCTTGGGAACCGCTCACACCCCACTGCCACAGGGACACCCTGGCTGGGGACCCTGCGATTCGTGTTGTGGCCCCCAGTTTTCCCCACAGGGGAGGAGGAAACAAGGAGCCGGCTGTGTCCACTGTGCTGGAGGCACCAGCAGTGCAGGACAAAACACTCCCTGAGCCCTCGCAAAGAGCCCGGGTCCGGTACCCGGGTCACGGCCATGCAGAAATGGGCTCTGCCCCCCAACACACCCGCTTGATGATGGGAGTGGGGAGCTGCAGGTCTCATTCTGCCCTTTGCTGACTGGTCTCAATTTATCAGAAACCCATTTTGAAGAGCATCTTGAAGATCAACCTAAATAATTTTTATTTTGGGGTAGCCTGGTTCAGCTTCTTCAGTTACACAAAATCCCGTCCCACCTTTGAGCAGCAGTGACTTGCCACCACGGCAGCACATGTTCATCCCCCAACCCTGCCCTTAGCGACCTGCCTTCCAGCCTGTGCTCCCTGGGGAGTCCCCAAACCCACCAAATTAAACCCCTCCAAGGACAACCCATCTCTCAGCCTGCACCCCCAGCTGTGCCCAGCAGCTGGTCAACTCCCCACCCCCCCCACCCCAACCTTCATCACCCACCCGGGATGGGGCCGCATCTCTCTGCTGTAGACGCCATGAGCTCCCGGCACTTCCCCGCCCGGACCGTGCTCTTCGAGAAGGAGTCCAACGGCGTCACATACCGCGTGCCCGCCCTGCTCTACCTGCCCTGCGTGGCCAAGCTGCTGGCCTTCGCAGAGGAGCGGCTGAGCGCCGACGATGCCCACGCCAACCTGCTGGTGCTGCGCCGCGGCACCATCTACGGGAGCTACGTGGAGGTGGGACAGGGGAGGCACCCGAGGTTGGGGAGGGGAGGACACGCTGTGCTGGGGACATGAAGACAGCTTGGGGGGAGGTTGTCCGGAGGACACAACTGAGGTCCTGGTGGCACCTGCACAGGGAAGGGAAGCTGGGTTGGGTGGAGTGGAGTGGTCCTCACCCTCTCCATCCTCTCCTCCTCCCCGGGTAGTGGGAGGACATGCGCGTGCTGGAGACAGCGACGCTGCAGCACCACCGGTCGATGAACCCCTGCCCGCTCTATGATGAGTTCACTGGCACGCTCTTCCTTTTCTTCATCACGGTGCTGGGCAGGACACCCGAAGCCTACCAGATTGTCACCGGCCAAAATGTCACCCGCCTCTGTTGTGTCACCAGCGTTGACCAGGGCCTGAGCTGGAGCACAGCCACAGACCTGACACAGCAGGTCATTGGTGGGGCCATCAAAGGTAGCCCACGGGAGAGGGGCGAGGAGGGGGGGGAGGACAGCCAGCAAGAGGGCAACCATGGGTTTTGGCCTCCTGGATCCACCCGTGACATGGCTGGAGGTGGCCTCAGGGTAGGGAGGAAGAGGCGGGGCAGAAGAGGACCTCAAGCAGAGGGGTGAGGGGATGGAGGGAGTATCTGTGTAGCTTGCATGGGGGGAGAGACGCTGGAGAGGTGCCATAGCTGTGGGTAGGACCATGCATGAGGACAGCCAGGCAGCACTGGGCTCTGCACCCCACCACCTTGCTTGGCTAGGAAGGGGTGGGGGGGATGCTCTGGAGACCCTCCCACATTGGGCATGTCAGGGGCACCATGGAGGCCACTCTTCACCCCTCTCCCATCTCCACTCCCCCAGACTGGGCAACGTTTGCTCTGGGCCCTGGGCACGGGATCCAACTGCGGTCTGGCCGGCTGCTGGTGCCTGCCTACAGCTACCACATCGACTGCAAGGAGTGCTTCGGGCAGCTCTGCAAGACCACCCCGCACTCCTTTGCCTTCTACAGCGATGACCACGGCCAGGATTGGCGCTTCGGGGAGTTCATCCCCAACCTGCAGAGCGGCGAGTGCCAGCTGGTCTCGGTGGACGAGGAGGACGGCTCCAACGTCCTCTACTGCAACGCCCGCAGCCCCCTGGGCTTCAGAGTCCAGGCACTTAGCACAGATGATGGTGCTGTCTTCCACGGGGGGCAGCTGGTCCAGCGGCTGGTCGAGCCCCCCCATGGCTGTCATGGCAGTGTCATTGGCTTCCCCGCACCTTTCGTCTATGTCCCTGCCACCCCCCAGGAGCCCGTGGTGCCCCTCCAGGGCTCAGCTCACCGGCTGCTCCCTGGGATGCTCCCAGGGTTTCGGTACCTGCCCCCTCGACAGGCAGCAGGTGATGGGCTGCCTGCCCTGGCCACCAGCAGCCACCAGCAGTCGGCCCATCCTGAGAAGGGCTGTCCAACCCCAAGGCATCACGTCCACACCCGTGGCATCACCTCAGTCCAAGGGGACTCTGCAGCAACTCCCAGCCCTGCTGCCTTCTTCCAAGCGCCGACATGGGTCCTCTACTCCCACCCTACCAGCTCCATGTCACGGGTCAACATGGGGGTCCACCTGAGCACCTTCCCCAGGGATGTAGAGAGCTGGACTGAGCCCTGGGTCATCTACGAGGGCCCAAGTGCTTACTCGGACCTGGCTTACATGGAGCTGCCCTACAACGAGACCTCCATCTCTGGTGGCCCAGCCATCGCTTTCGCCTGCCTCTATGAGAACGGGACACAGTCACCCTACGAGCAGATCTCCTTCAGCATGTTCACGTTGCACGATGTGCTCCAGAACATCCCCCTGACAGCCACTGCTTCCCGGCGGGATGGTGGCCCCACACGTCGCAGGAAGTGGGGGCGAAGGAGCTGCCTTGTCTCCTAGTGCCCCCACCAGGTTGCCCACC